TTCATTTTTAAACAGAAAAATGCACTCGTTTTCTCCATGTAGAATGGCATAAAACTATCAGTTTTGAGTGTTTCTGAGTGCTTTTGAATTCTTTAAAAAGAGTGCTTTAAAAAGATTTTTAAACCATGCCTCATGGTGTCAGTGGGTCATGCTCAGAGTCAGTTTAGGAGAGCCTGGCCACTTCATATTTCTCCTGATGTAACAAAAATATGGCTGCAAACCACTAAAGGCCGCTCAGGAGCACGTCCTCAATGAATGGGAGTGAATGGAGCTAAACGGCTAAAGTTTGTGTGGGGTCTTCCTTTAACTTTTTCCCCTTCTTAGCATTTACTGCTACTGAGGTCAAACTGGTAGGCAAACTGATCAGCTTACTGGCTGAATTAAACGGTTCACTCTCGCTGACATCGTGAACGTCAAAAGTGCTTAAAAATGTATTAGCGGTGGTGAAAAATGCCGTTGTGTGTTCAGAAAACTACAATCATTTTGGACTCGGGAGCGCCCCTCGCATTTGACGAACCCGGAAGACATTACTGAGTGGCAATTTCTTCTCGGCCAATAAACTGATCAGCTCGCCAACTGGCTCCAGTAATGCTAGCGTGCTAGTGCCCAAAACTTTTTGCTGCAGAAAAATTAAAGGACACTGGCTTTCTTCAAATTTTTAAGTTAATACTAATCCTTAATAATCCTTCTACTTTCCAAAATGAATGGAAGTCGCTGCATAAATGACAAGAGACATTTCATTGTTTTTAGCCATTTAGCGCCATTCTCTCCCATTCAGTGAGGACTTGCTAATGGGCGCCCTCTAGCGTTTTGCTTTCATGTTTAAAAAGTGGCCAAGCATTTAAACTTACCTTAAAACACAGGCAGTACAAGTATTTCAAATAGACTTGCTTACAGGGCCGCCGAACCACGGTGGCGAGCGGGTATTCACCCCATCACTTTTGAAAGTACTGCGGTGACGCGCTGCTACTTTTGAGCTCAGCACACGAACATAAGAACATCTTTTACTAAACTGCATGAAGTGCTGACCAGCACGAACAGAGTAAAACTGAAACAGAGGCAATCAGAATCTCCATTTCAGCTGGGAGGCGCCTTCAGACCTGCCTTGGTTGGTGCAAACCTGTCAAACTTTTTCTTTAGTTTGGTTTTGACCTGCGACTCCATCCCGAATTCAGGCAGCACCAAACAACTGAACTTCACAAGGAATTAAACACCAGAGCGCGATTTTTTTCCAGAGCACATTTTCGCTGGACTGTCTGCACAACCTGCTACTTTAACATTTCACTCTTTACAAGCGCTCATATCGTTCCTGCACTGCGAGCGCCTGTCAACATCGAGAGACGAGCGATGGAATAATGACAGCAAATTTTTGGCCAAGCATCAGCCTGATCGGTTAAATTTAATTTGTTACTCACAAAGATGATGAGCGTCACTGTTTTCTGTGTTTTTGTTTTCATGGTGGTGAATATGAGAGTAACTGAGCGCTTGCATCTCCGCAAAACTTATGATCAATAAACAAACACCCATGTCTGTAATTTAGTCCACTTTAGCCCTTGCAGACCACCATCCGAACCAAAGGAAAGAGATATAATATCACAAAAAAACAATCTGTGATGTGGTCTTTAGAAAATGAACTGGGTATGAAAACAGCCTGATGTTCTTCAGAGATAATATAGCTATCATCTCTAAAGAAAAACAGGCTGTTTTCATATATACACATACTATCTGAGGCTGCAGCTACTGAAGCAGCATCAAAACAAACACTGACACTGTTCATAATCAGGTTCAGAGGTGGGTAGAGGAGCCTAAATCAATCCTTAAGTAAAAGTATTGATACTAAAATTAAAGCAAAAATACTTTTCCGAAAATAACATGAGTAGAAATACAAAGGAAATGTGGCTAAAATGTTACAGAATAAAAAGATTCATTTACTCACTTTAGTAGAAGTAAATATAATATGATTTGAAAAGAGTTAAAGAAGAGATCCATCAATATTTTACTGAAGTACATGTACTTGAGTAAATGTAATTAGTTACGACCTACCTCTGAATAGGTTTATAAAGACATGTCATTAGTATGACATGAAAGGCAATTTTAGTCAGTGGCCTAATTGCATTTTGTCACTCAGCCAGATGCGTTTTTTTATTTTTTTTATTTTTGGAAACAGTGTGTTATGCCCCACCACTTTTGGAGTTGTGACGCCACCCTTGAAGGTTTCTGGCACTGTATAACATACTATTTACATACATAAAGTCAACAAAAGTATGGACAAAATTCAGGTTTCAAGATGTTGTTTTAGCTATGCAACATATGTCTGTCCATCATAGATACCAACCCTGCCAGAAAAACAGCACCAGCAAAACCAACATATGTTGTGTTTTGGATGCTGGTATGCTGGTCAACCAGCATAATCCTGCTGGGTGACCAACTAAACCAGCACCAGAACAGCATGGAATTCAAGCTAGTCTGTGCTGTTTGCAGAGAGTGAATAACAGTCAGTTTACATCTAGCGCACATACTTACCGTGGCTTATTCGTTTCTTTATATTAAACCTCGAAAAAGAAAGCAAACATTTTCACAGGCTCTAGACTCTATCATTTTAATTGATTAGCTTATATTGATTGTAATTACACAATTCCAAGGGGAGACAAAAAAAAAAATCAGACACAACATTCAAAATAAAAAGTCAAGCAAGAACAGTAAAAAAGAAAACACATAGACGCAGAATCGTGCCAAAATGTTTACCTGGACCAAAAATAACACATAAGAGGGTTATTTGGATCCAACGTCTACAGTAGCCTACTTTAGCGAGGCAAGCTAACTAGAGCTGGAAAAAACAATTCCATTGTGCCAGTCTTCTCCATGTTGCCATGGGTGTTTTTCTAAAGCACGTCAACCGATCATAGAAGCGATGCACACAGACATAAATACATGAGACATTCCAACATAAAGGCATTGTAAGTTGCGACTGAGGTACAACTGCAAAACTGTGGAAAAAGCTTGTGATTCACTCCATAAGTGAGCCACTGAAACAAACGAATCAGAGGTGGCGAAATGTGATCCTAGAGGTAGAAATTAAAGATGTTGCTAGGCCATTCACAATGATAATACTAGGATTTTCATTTTACCACTTAATCAAAAAATATTTTATTTGGAAACTTTTTGAGAGCTTCGAGAAAAATCTTTCCCATTTTGCCAATGGGACCCATCACTGGGATGCATCTGCACATGTTGCTATATATTTTGATATGTATGATTTTAAATGTATTTCCAGTAACAAGCCTTTCTTTTGCAATATGTCTAATTTAATCATTTAATAACTATCACTACTGTCATTCTAAAGAATAACATTTTAAGTACATACTACAAGACTATCTGAAGTGTAGTGTAGACGAGATGAGTTTGTTCAGCCCTCCAGCACCAGGTTTTGCCACTCCTGATATAAACTATGGCTTTACAAAGAAGAATTTAGCAATATATTCACAGAGAAGGACACAAATACAACAGTTACAGCAGCAAAACAGCCTTATACAGCAGCTCAGACCCTGAATTAAAAGGCAAGTTCAAACCATATTCGTAAAGCAATTCAGCAGCTATTGGACATGTCCAGAGTTTCCAATAAAACTTACATGATCACTGAACATTGAACTCCTTCATTTCGACTGCACCAGCAACACTAGTGTGAATTTTCATCTATTGATATAAACGTCTGTTAGTTTGCAATGGTCATTTGTCATCATGCACAGAACACATTTAAAACTTACACTGATTTTTTCAAATTTCTGCATAATTCAATCGTTAGATTCAGAGTGGTTTGATGTGAAATGCTCCATTCTAGAGAGTCAGAATTGCAGCGGTGGTGATAGGAACCAGACATCCAATGGGTTTAATGCCTCTAAAAACTATGGTATTGTGCAAAAGCAGAGACCACCCTTCATTTAATTTCCAGTCAAACCAGCCATTAAAGGCACAGTTTACGATTTCAATCCACTAAACTTTTTGTCAAATTCAGCTAATATCTCCTTACGGTCTGCTAGCTGTCCGTTCTGTGTGCGCTGGGAAAATCTGGTGTTCGTACACAGTCCTAGTTCTGTACATGGGGAAACAAAGAAAGTGTCTCAGACTGAACGACACAACACTATTCCAGCCAGTCAGCGACAGGGGACGTCCATGCCTGTGCACAGGACAGGATGAAGAGGAGGGGCTACGTGCAGAACTCCACACATTGTTAAGAAGAAGAGGTCCATGCCTGTGCACAGGACAGGAGGAAGAGGAGGGGCTACATGCAGAACTCCACACACTGTTAAGAAGAAGAGGCGCCTGAATGTAACTGCTACATCATTAAGGAGGAACAGAACAATTCGAACAGAAGCTGAGGTGCTGGAATGTAACTGCTGCACCATTTAAGGTGGAACAGGAAAACTCAAACAAAATGCTGGCAAAAAGAAGTTGCCTACAGCTTCATCGAGAGTTGAAAGGCATGAAAAGAGATGACTACATATAATTTTTTTGTGCTTTGTGTGTCCATCCTTTGCCTTTATTACATTTTCCATTCTTTTCAGGTGACGTGCTTTCAGTTTTTCAAATAAATCTGCAGGAACATTTTTTCAACACCTCCAAAGTTCAGTCTCAGAAGTTGGTTGCATTTTCTGCTTCTCATGATCCAAATAATCCCAATTACAAATTTACACTGATCAGTCCATAAAACCTTACTCTACATCTCGGGTGTCCAGTTTTCTAGTTCACATTTTATTCAGTTCTTTTTTCAAAACTTCCTTTTCTCAGTGAAGCTTCTTGACTGCTACACATCCTTTCAGACCCATAGCACTGAGTTGTCTTTTCACAGTGGAAGGATGGACAGAAAGACCTCTGGATGTTTTCAGATCTGAATCAAGAGTGATTTTTTCCTCTCTCTCAAAGATGGAAGCTTTAAGTGCTGTTAATCTGATGAGTGTAGTTTTGGTGGTCCACCAGCTGTACCACCTATATCCCATTTTCTTTGTATCTTTTAATCATTTTTTGAACTCCAGGTTTCCTGTTTTTTTCATTCATTTTCCTCTGACCTCCCTCAGAAAGTTATTACATAAAGATAGTTATGAATAAGTTGCCTGATGCCAGCCATTGTTTATGTTCAGTTTTAAAAAAATAAAAAAGCTATACTGTTTAAACTCTGCAACCCTGGGATCTCGTCACCAGACCACATCAAACCATTCTAAATGACTTTTCGTTTACATCTCTGTGACTGAATGATCCAGAAATTTTGGCAAATCAGTGGAATCACCCCATATTGTTGCTGATTATCTGTGACATTTTGATATAAACCTGTAAGATACTATACAGTGTTCATGTACACATTGTACAGGGAGAGAAATCTACAAAACTAGTATCACATTTAGTTCAATATCTCAGTAGATATGGTAGATATAACAAATCAGGCATAAGTGACAACCAGGGAACCATGTTTTAAAAAAACATCAAATATCTAACGTGAGATTGGAGTGTATGAAGGTGCGATGTTTGATGAATGGTATCAAGTGTCAGAAAAGGCCATCAAAAACATCCTTATATGGATGAAGTGCTACTCATAAAATGTGTTGTCAAATGTTGACAGCAGCTAGTGTCTTTTCGGAAACACAAGCTGAGTACGTAGAATTTCAGCTACATGTAAAAGGCTTTAGATACATTCAAACAATACAAGAGGCCTATATGGAGAAAACTGAAAGTTAACTATAGGGGGGATTGCACTCTCTTTCTGCTTGACCTCTTTTATGCATTCTACTTCCACATGGGCTTGAGGGTCCTGCTGGAGATCGGAAAGGATTTCTCAGAGAAACTGCTACCTTTGCGGGACTGCTCCCGCCCAGTCTGTGGCGGGGGCGTGTCACTGCGCTGAGTGCTTTGACTAGGTGCTCGGACGCTCTGAACCCTCCTCAAAGACCCAGCTGGTTTGTCCTCGCCTCGGGTTGAGTGTCCACTACATACGGATTCTGCTTTTCCACCAGATGGTGCCTTCTGGGAGCCACTTCTGGACAATGTGGAGCTCTTTGATGGAGTTCCTGGAGCAGGTTGGACAGGCAAGTCTTTTTTGGTTCTGGAGGAGGAAGCGACAGTGTTGCGAGCAAAGCTTGGCAGGGCTGAGGGGGCTTTTGAGGCATGGGTTGGCGTCTGAGGCATGGTGCCTTCCAAAGTGGCCTGAGCCTGAGCTTGGGCCAAGGCTCTCATGGTAGAGCGACACATCTTTTCCTCATGTGGAGGTTTAGGTAAGTTGCGAATAGGTTTGGCATTCGGCTTCTTGAAGGAAGGCTTGTGTGGAGCGGTGTCTCTTGACCATCGAGAACCTACAGCACTCGGGGTTGTTCCTCTTTGTGCCTTGGCTTGCTCTGGAGGAAGGCTTGAATGGCGAGCAGGTCTTCCTTGTCTTTCGCCCCGTCTTGTGGGCGTGCTCTGGTCACGTAGGGGACGCTTCGGTTCAGTGATCTCATGTCCTAAGGATTTCTCAACTCTCTTAGCATTGCTGACGGACCGACTCAGCTTGGTGATGGGCACTACCTTGCGCAAGTTCTGGGTCTCGGTTGCTGTGAGTGTTCTTGCAGGCCGGCCAATTCGAGTGGCTGCAGATTTAGACAGAGTCTTGGTTTTTAAGTGAGCTGGTTTGGAGCTGCATGTCTGCACTGCCTTCTCGCCCACCTTCCTACCCTCTGCAGTATCACAACTGTCAGTATCTGCCTCGTCAGTAGTGACAGAAGGAGTGACCGACTCTGGGCGCTCTTCAACTGCCTTCCCACCAAGGGGCTCATCAGCTGATGTAGACACTGATGGTTCATTGGTGGACAAAGACTCAAAATTAGAGGAAAGGGAACTAGGATCTCGAAGGAGACTTCGTAAGTTGTTGTCCTGCGATTTTGCATCGAGTCGAGATCCTTCCTTAAAAATAGGTGAACTTTCCAGCTCTGAGCAGTCTAACATGACTGAGCAATCAGTTTCAGTGCAGTCCAGAATGTAAGGGATACATTTCTTGTTGGATAACGATGGGTCAAGAGGCAAAGGTGTGTCACATGTTGTTGAGGAGACAGTGCTGGTGTCTTCTTCCTCCTCTCTCTGAGGTGAAGTTATTTTGCTGTCGTATACTGCACCTGGTTGTGGTGCCTCCTCAGAACTCTTACTAGATGGCGGGGTATCCAGAACAAGCGATTTAGGAAGTTCTCTTTCCTCTAGATCTGTCACAAAAATATCTCCCTGGTTGTCCAGTGGCCTGTAACTGCTATTGTTGTTAGGATTTGTCAACTCTAAGGGCTGAAGCCCAGGCACCAGCATGTGTCTTTCCAGGCTAACGTTCATCTGTCCAACAGCATGACCCTGTGACTTCTGGAACACATTCCTAGTGTGACTTAGTCGTGAAGAAATTATGCCTTCAGAAACAGTTGAATAATTATTATTGTTGTATGCATCATTCTCCATGGTGTAACCTGACATTGAGTATCTAGCTAAGGGGCTAATTGGTTCAGTCTCCGCCTTTGGAGAAGTGGCCAGCTTATCATGATAGAGCTGATTCTGCACCCCCAGCTCTCTGTTATCATCCTGTGAGGCCAGCCAGGGCATGGTCCTTCTCTGGTGAGGGCGACCTGAGCGCGGAAGGCTGCTGAATTTGGCGCTATCAGCTGTGGAAGACCCAGAAAACAGCTCCAGGTAACCACGGAGGTTGCGATCAGCGGTTGTGTGGCGGTAGCGACGGGCACTCGCAGACCGCCCCAGTGGACTGTGGGGGCTGTGAGGTCGGGGCTGCAGCAAGAAGTCCAGGAGGCCCTCCTTGGTAAGGATGTCCACATCATTCTCACTGCTGCTGCGACCAAAACCTCCATTACTGCTTTGCCCCCCATTAGCGGCAGCCCAGGCAAAACGCCTCTCTTCCAACTCACGTAAGCGCCGCTGCCTGGCAGCCTCTTTCAAATCCCTCTCCAGATTATCCTAATAGTTGAAGGAAAGAGACAAGATGAGTTAGAAAGCAAGTCAGTTTTATGAGCACAACATTGAGTTTTTGCACAGCAGATGGTGCGATATCTTCAGTCAGTGCACTGGTCAGTACAGAGCTGATCACAGAAGAAGAAGAAGCCATTTTCTGGCCAAATAAATCTGATGTAAATCTAAATAAAAATGATCACTTAGGGTAATCATAAATCTTTTCTTTTTTCCAGGATGTCCTCTTTTTGGGACCTAAACATGTGTGCAGTTGGGATTTCTAAATTGTTTAAAATGTTGAGGGACTTGGCTTTGCCTTCATGTTGACATTTGCCCCCAGTGTCCTCTTTTTTGAAAACCATAATGTGACCATCCTAAATCACCGCACGTAAACCATAACTTCAATATCCCAACCCAAAGTGAAATCAGTGAGATGCAAATTCTGCATAGTGTGTGAGACCACAACAAGGATCTTGTCTCAGTCAGTAGCATCACCATCTTTGTACCTTCACAGCTTTCTTGAACTTGAGACAGAAGTCTTGGAAGATCCTGAAGCACTCGTCGAGTTTGAAGGTGTCTTTGTCTTCACAGAAGAAATCAATAAGGGCATTGCCCTCTTTACGCAGGTCCAGCCTGCGTCTTTTCAGGTCCTGCAGAGTCTGTGTTGAACTCTAACAGAAAGAAAGCAGAGATAGGCCTTTTATCATAGAAAGATTTACAAAACCTCTGCATGATGTACACAAGTGTTGAACAGTTTAGGAGTCACTTGTCATATCAATGTTTTTTGTTATGTTATATACAATGTTTTGTTATTCAAAATTTCTTTCTTATTCAAGATTTCTGTGAACAAGAAGATATTACAAGATAATGTATTGTAATGATTTGTGAACCCTCAGATCAGCTTTCTCAGTCATTTTAGAATCTTGTTTGTTTTCGATTACAAACATTTCAACAGGGTATACTGAAACAAACTAGTGCCAAATCCAAAGCACACTGTAAAACTACAAAATTGTATCATAAAAATTGGTGTTATAGACAAATATATGATTAATGATATTTAAAATATTTAAAGAATTACAAAGATACAGCCAGTACCCCTACTGGCTAAAATCAGAACTGCAGGTCATTGACAATTGCTTTTGTTGCTTATTATTGATTAACAAAATTCAGAATATGCAGATAGGCATGGGAGATGTCACTATATGAATCTAATCTACATGTAGACATGTTTATATTATTTGAGAGGAATCTGACCTGCAGAAATGGATCCAACTGCGAGAGCAGATCAGCATCGCTCTGAATCTTCTCCTCCAGGGAACGTGTTCTCACATAGAGAGAGGAGAATTCTGCCTCAATGTTTTCCACTGAGATCCTACAAGAATAAAGAGAACAGAGGAAGGTAATGGAATGGGTGTAGCAAAAAGTGAAGCACAAACAGAGAGGACATTGTGCATTAGTGCATTCATTCGAAACAGAGGATATACAAGTGGGAATGTCCAGGCAGTGTTAGAGTTTCCATAGGGAGGAAAATAACTTGACAATGCAGAAAAGATCAACTACTGTAAGCTGTTTTGTGGAGAGGACCTCATAGTGTGAACTTACAATGAAACCACATTGCATTGACTTTGAAAAGGCTTCCCATTTGTTATCATAAAGTGGATGCTAACATCAGCCCCTTTCACACAACCCTTTCATGCGGGAATTTAAAAATAATTGAACAAGAAGGGGTTATGTGTGAGCATGAGCCAGTGTTAGAATCCTGATGCAGAAATTTACTTGCAGGACACCTAGTACAATTCCCACAAAGCTGATGGTAAGCTGAGTGTTTTTACAGTCAAACTTTCAGTTTTTCAGTTGTTTCAAAGGTGTAGCCAGAATTTTATTTGAGAGGAGACCTAGTTACAAGTTGAGGGGGCCAGCTAGCAAGCATTGAGGCCCAGAGAAGTCTATAGTTAAATAGCTAAATTGTTAGAAAACTGCCCACTTCATTACCATAATCAAATGGAAAAATATTTTTGTATATGAAACATAACACACGATTGCTTAGCTAACATTAGTTACCATAACTAAAACTAACAGCAAACCACAGCAGGTAAAGGCTAATTAGCCTTTTACAACACTAGATTCTGATTGTTCTCTCATCTTTTTTTTTTTAACAGTACTGAAATTTGTTTTCTTTACTTGTACTCGCTAACTAGGTAAGTAGATTAAGAAGTAGCATAGCTCAGCTAAGTTCTCACCATCAGCAGAAACAGTGGAGCAAACTAATGTGTTGTTTATATGCTCACTGAACAAAAGTGTCTTGCAATGAAGGAGTTGTTGGCCATGTATGCTGAGGATTTCATATCCTGTTTAAGGGCTGTAAGATTCAATATGCAAAGCTTGAACATTACCTGCAAATCTATGCTAGTAACATAGCAGGTTTGGGCATGAAAGTGTGTGTGTTACCTGGCTGCACTCTGCACATGTGTTAGCTTCTCTGGAAACTTCAAAAGATTCTCATCCTTCTTCTGTGCTTCCTGTTTGAGAAGAACGTATGAAACTAGAGTAAGATGTAAGACTGTACATTTATATAAGTTTATCATACCTGAAACTTTACACTTGTCTCTTCCAGAACTCACTTGTAGACAATTTTCTTGACATGTTTGGTGTCCAAAATTTACTTCTTTGGTCTTAACATATTTTAAATAGATGAAATTTGTAGTAGCAGCAATCTCGAAGGTCGGACTGTCATGATCATGAAAATTTAGCTGCAGATTAATTGCCATATAAATATTAACAATTGTCCTTTTTGTTCATTTTGTGCAACTATTAAAATAGATGCCTAAAATGACCAAATATGCAGGCCAGCTGTCTTGACTCCTTGCTTTTGATACTCAGTGACTCCAAACTGACAGCAGAAACATCTCAAACTCCCTTACCACTTCCCTCTTAATGTGTTATAGCACCAGTCAGAAGTTTGAACTTTCAACTGTTTATGTAAGACCCATGATCTATGATTTAGCTCAAGTCAACTGATGAAAACGCACCTCATTCACATTTTGTTTGTTGTGATGTGAACAGATGAACGTAAAAGCTAATAACTGTGGAAAACAATTGCAGTCAGCTTAAATAATTAAGAAGTGATCAGGTGATAATGTAATAACCGTGACAAGCTTGTCTGAAGCCTTAATTTCATTGCTGCTTTTTCCATTTGTAGAGATAACAGTATGTTCTACAGTGTCAGAATCCACACCAGTGAAGCTCTTTCAGATTAACATCTCAATGTGGTTTGAGGCAGCTGTGTGATGATTTAGGCAAGCAGAACTAACCAAACATGCCTTTGGGATAAGATTGTGAAAATTGAGTAGATCAGATTTTTGGCCCAACGATCACAGTTTTACTGCTAAAATAAATGTCTATAAAGCTTAAATATACCCTCTATGTAAATCTAGGCCCAATTGGAGAAGCACAAATGAGCAAAAAATGAGCTAAAAAACTACCAACTACCAACACTTCTTATACTCTTCCACTCACCAGAGCCACGAAATGGAGGAGGTTCATGCCTGGCTTGTTGGCCTTGGTGTCTGCCAGTGACAGCAGTGAGGACAGCTTGAAGCCCACGGCGTTGCCTGCATAACCGCCCTGCAGAAATCGCACATCTGTCAGCGTCTCGCCAGTGCTTTAAAACCCATTAGCTCTCCTTAGCCATTAATGCTGTCCGGAGCCACAGAGACCGATTAGGAAGAGAGGAATGAGGAAGAGTGCAGGGTATGGAAAGATGGGAGGAGTGGATAAGGAGAGAAAGGGAGATGAGAGAGTGAGAGATGTGAGGGGCAGATGAAAGGAGACAGCAGGAAAGAGAGAAATGAGAAAGAAAATGTAAAAGTAAGGGTTCTTACTGCGTTCATGATGTTTCCAGCTTGGAGCACCAAGTGAAGGATGGCATGGAGTTCTTCACACGTCATTAGCTCTGTCAGTGGGTCAATAGAAATGCAATCAGTAAAGAGAATCTGTCCTATAATACAACACTGTGACCACTTTAAAGGTTTATATAGCTGCTAGAGGCTTACAGGATAAATCGACAGTCGATTAGGTGTCAAGGATGATGATTATGGAAAATATTTACTATTAAAAACAACAGCAGTATATAAGGGCTGGACTTGATATTTAATACAATATATTTATGATGACATTTGAAGATACAAAATTAGACAACACTGTGAACACTCCAGATTCCAGACATGATAAAGGATAAATGACTAAACAGTCCCCTGCAAACTTGGATGAAAACATTAAGAACTGAAAAGTAGTTTTTCAGACTGAAAAAACACTTGTTAGCGATTTCAGTGAGAATGCATACTATCAGGATACCTAACATTTAAGCCCAAATTATTTCGAACAGTGGTAGATAGCTTAACCATTTACAGAAATAATCATTAGCTACAGTCACTTCAGTGTTTCCCCTACCATTAAATAACTAAGGTGGGCCAAACTCAAATGTCTTTTAGGTGGTATCTGCTTATGTTTTGGCCAAAAATGAATTCTCAATGTGCTTTTTTTTTTGTTTGTTTTTTTTTAAGTACACTAAATTTAGATGGCAACCTCCTCACGACCTGATCATTAATATAATAGCTAGTGGCAGAGTCGGGGAGTATCTAGCTATACACACAGGCTTTAATCACAGAATTTATTGGTCCTTAAAAAGAGAAAGTTTTCCTGCAAACTGAAATATTAGTTTGGAGTTCTTATTATTGAAACGTGGTGTTACATCTCTGGATTGAAGATGTAAACTCAATAAAAGATGTGAAACCTAAGTGTTTCATCTTTTCTGTTCTATTGATGAGGAAACTAGTGAGATCTTCCTTCTGGACATTTGTGGACATAAGCAATGAATTTGCTAAAGCAATCTTGAAGCCTTAATAATGAAAAGCAGATCTATTTTGGGCTTTCTTATAGACTTCCAAACAGTCCAAACAGTATTTAGTGTTGGTTTATGAAATGTATACATTTCAACAGGAAGATATGCAAATCATTCATTGGCCTGGGATGACATGTAAAGGAAGTATGCAGTCTCAGAACATAAAACCTGCTGTGTTCACATGTATAGTGTGCTCACTTTTAAGGTTTTCTAGCCTGAATAAAAACAGGTGGAGTGGTTGAAACACTGCACTTGCTACTATCACTTTATTACTAGTAAAGTTGCTAAAGAAGCCACAAAAAATGATCTGAAATGATCATACTCAGATAATTGTAGAAATAATGTCTTTCATTTAGTGGTATAACAGTAACACATTAATAACACATTTAATTATTAACACTACTCATTTTTTTCCAATAGCAGTAACACCATTTTCTTAGTTTTACTCTTTGAACCATTCGCACTTCCAGCATGAAGCCCAGCTGCTCATGCATGACTCCACTATAGTAATCCTCTCTTTCAAATACAGCTTTCCAATGTTGAGAAGTTCCTTTAATGGCTCTGTTAATAAAACTGAACTCATTTCCAGCTAAAGCCATGGTAAATTAGTTTATTCAAGCCTGCATAGGCAATACACAATATCAGGAATATCAGGTTATATCAGTATCAGTGACGTTAGCACTGGAGGACACCTTCAGCAGACTATGCTGGTCAGCTCTCATAGGAGAACCATGGATAAATCAGCCAGCAGTAAACTAACAAAAGCAACAGGTTCCCTCAAAACAAGACGTAATGTAGCAGTAAGAGAACAAGATGGCTAAAATCATGGAGGAGTTAGAACCACTGATTGTATATATGAAATATATGATATATGCACTTATTGGTTGGATCGTGCAGCCACTGCTGCTCTCTGAAATCTGAGAACTGTGTTCATGCTATGGAAATCATTTGATTCAGGTTCCTATTAATGAAACTTAATGAAAATGTGATTATGGAAATATATTTATTACTTGAAATATTATTATTATTATTATTATTATTATTATTAAACAGAATGTTTATTTCTAGAGCACTTTTCATAGTGGTAGCAGCTCAAAGTGTTTTGCAGACAGATGATAAATCTTACCAGTAATATAAGAAACTGAATATTAATTTTAAATGTAAGACATATAAGACAATGACACAGATCAAATAAAAAAGAGGAATATCAAAGAGACAACAATTTTAATTGAACACTAAGTTTTTTAAGTTTTTACACGTTTCTTAAAAGGTAGCACTGAGCTTGACTGATCAATAAAAGGTGGAACAGCACTTTGTATGCAGTCATACTGTAAAGCCACAGTGTTGAACTGCATACTGAAATGGACAAGAAGTCAAATATGTTTTTCAAAAATAAACTTCTTGGAGTCAGAAAATCAGTCCTCAGGAGGAAGGTTAATTGTGCAGCACAGTAAAAAGACCACGGGCCATGGATTTCTGAGACAGAGCTGTATGGCAGAGCTTTAGGAGGGAAAAGGGGTGACTCAGCAAAAGTACACTGTGTGCCTCAGAACTGAGCCCTGCGGAAAATTCACCCTGCTATTTATTGGTCCACTTGTTAAGCTTCAAATTCGCTGAGAGTGGAGGAATGATGTATCAAAGCGTGCGTGTGTGTGTGTGTGTGTGTGTGTGTGTGTGCATGGGAGTTGATATGTGGAAAGTAAATTAGCAGTCTGTCTGCAGTCATCTGTCACAAAGCAAAAAAAAGTTAGAGCTGAAAAAAAATCCAAAAATAAATAGTGAGCTATATATTATTTTGTCCGCTGCAAATCTCAGATAATATGGAAAAAACAGGCAAGTCCAAATTCTCAATAACAGACGGCTTTAGAAATATCTTTTTCCTTGCACAAAAAGCCCATTTCATGGTAAGCTGACTTTTCCTCACTTATATTAAATACAAGAGTTAGGTGATTTAGTATGTGAACACTAAGTTTCAAAACATAATGTTGACTTCCCACTCCATGCAGTCCATATATGGAATTTAAACTGCAAAAGCTGCCCCTTTGGCATTCACCATTTTTGTGATGTCACCAAAAACAAAGCATTTACATACAGCCTCCTATTCAGCAGTTTAGCACCGCCCATTCATACGGAAGTTATAAGTTATAAGCTATATGTTACTGAATGAGTAACAATTCAGGGCAGCCAATCTGAACAAAGCTTATTGTTGGAGAGCAGTCTGGTGCGCTTCATTGCTTACCATGGCTAGGAACCACCTACTTTGACAGGAGTGGGCTGTTTGACAGACAAACAAAATAACCAACCACATACTGTTGTTTTAGCGTGACATGTTTTGAAATGTGATGCTGTGAAACTTCACAAACAAAAAAATCTTGTTATTTATTTACTGTATTTGTTTGTTTGTATTTATTCTAATGATAAATGGCGAGTTGACAAGCAAAATTACGCTTATTGCCAAGATAAATATGCTTAGGTGCATAAGCCGTTTGCACAGTACTGTATATCAGATGCTCCATGTATGTGTGGGCAGAGAGGGTCTGAAGCTGAGACTACCGACAGATGATTGTAACATGCCAGGTTACCACTTCCTATTTATCCGACCACCTCCCCCTCTTCTTATCCTCCATCCACTCACTCATCGCTACACATCTCCTGTACTGTAATCTATCCTCCAATCTTTCCATTCCTCTGAGATGCCGTTGGGGCACAGCACTACGATGTGTATCTGCTTACACTTCTAAATCTGGGTCACCTGTGTGTGATCACAGTGTGTGTTCACTCGGTCTTACCGTCAGTAGCCAGACGTACAACGTTAATCTCCCGACTCATCACTGCACATGACGGGGCAAACTCTTCCTGCAGGACCATGGCCTCGATCCGCACGTCAAAGCTGCAAGGGAAACATGCACCCATGTACACGCAAACATGAATACATTAGCACTGAAATGCTATGAAAGAGCTGTGATGTCACAACCATGAACACATTCACATACAGTGCATGTCCAAAAGTTTGTAGACACCTACTCATCCAGTGTTTCTTCATGAGTATTAAAGAGTTTGTCCCCTTTGCTGCAGTAATAATCTCTACAGTGTGGGTGCTGGAGGTGTCCCCCACTACTGACTGTAGACAGGAGTCCATTCATGTTCGTTTTGGATCACCCACTTTTCACGATCCAACAGATAAAATCATGTCAAACCAAATTTATTTTCCCCCTGAATATCTGGTTTCCTCCTGAAGCATCTCATGAAATGGAAGAAAATGCACTTTCAATCTGATTTCCATTAATGTCACCTCTAAAGAAGCCGAATTTGCTAATAAGCAGGGGTGTCTAGATACCTTTGGACATCCAGTGTATGACAATTCATACAGGCCACAGCAGTTTAGGCCACCAATTTAGGGTGCAGTGATAAGGAGTGCTACAGCAGACAGTCTGCAACAGAGTTATTTAAGTGAAAGACATGGGACAGTGATTAAATGCTGTACTGTTCCTGTCTTTCAGGAAGCAAATTTAGCATTTTGGCCAAAGTGGAACACTGCAAGTAAATCAAAACCTACAGATCAGATCAAGCTCAGTGAATTTCCTGTATTGCAAAGATGTGCTAAATGTCTTAAAAACTGTACAGTGTTTTTTCTTGAGCAAGTTTGTATCACATACAGTCATTATGCTTCTTACCGTGGTACCTGGATCAGCAGGAACATGAAAGAATCTACCAGGGTCAGTTTTGTAGGGTCTCCTTTAAATTCCCTTAGTTTCTTTATCTATATTTTAAGAAAAGGAAACAATAAACTAAATATGCATACAAACTAATAAATCCAGAAGATTATGCAGTTTTTTTTGATTTTATATAAACTAAAAATGCACTGACACGTTTTAGAGAAAGACCTTAAATCGTATTTTTATGCATACATATTATACAAAATATCACCAACCAATCAGTATAACAAGGCTGCACAATACAGACAAAATATGGTACTACAATTACATCATTATATACTGACATTATGGTATGTCTTGCAATATTTATATAAAAAAACATTGATCTGTCATGGATCTGTCAAGACTGACCTGCATTATTTTTAACCAAAATCATTTGTAATTGTTGGATCATGTAAATTCAAACATGGTCCCAACATCTGTGATTGGTGAGGATGTTGACAGCACACAATAAAACATTCAGTGCTAAGTTAGAGGCTCATTTGCATATTGTAGTCTTCCAAAATAATATTACTGACTAACAATACACTGCGCCGCTCTACAGTGCAATAATACTAAATTGGTACACATTGCCATACATGGCATTGCTCTGTACTGTATTTGGAGGACGTCTCACCTCCTCTGCTTCTGGCAGCAGTTTCAGCAGCTCTTTAAGAGGCTCGGCTCCATACTGTTTACTGTTGCCAAGCCGTATATCTTCCACAATGGTGTCGTTAGACCTGGGGGACAGAAAGTTCTGCTTGGTAAACAGCAGACTATTAGCTCAGGCAATATAGATAATCAACCCCAAGACGGAGAGTAATGAGGAAAGCTTGCATATGCTAGAGGTTGCATGCACTTGAATGGTGGTCTAAGGTTGGTGAAACTTTCAGGCAACTTGAGATACTTGAATCTTACATTAAACTAAATTTCACTGCAGTGTACAGTGCATAATGTAAAGTCTCCTGCCACTTGTTGCAACCATCTCAACTTTGTAAATCAGCTTTCATGAAACAGCTAATTAGGTCAAGTGATAAAATTCCAAACAAATTTCATTAACACTGTTGGTGCAAGCATTTTTACCGTTTTTTTTTGTAATGTGTTATCAAGATGTACGTAGCTAGGTTTCTACTGTCTTCACATAAAATGATACAAAGATGTAACATAAGCTAAATTATAAGTCATGAATGACTTTATGTAGCCAGATTGATATAATATAGGATACTAGCTATCCTAGCTGTATTCGATACTAATCTGGTTCAATGTGGAATAATTGAATGTGTTACACAGAAATTGTTTCATGCAACCTACAAACAGCTGCTTGAAGGTTTCACCAAGTAAAGCCAGCCTAAAACCTGACCCCTAGTATTCTAGGATTCTGTGGCTCATATTAATTTCAATGCATCACTATAATAATATAATACTATAATACATTTTAAGAGGTACTTAAAAGGGTTGGCCTTTACCCTGTTATGACTATGTTATGGACAGAGCAATTTAATGAGAAGTTAATATGTAATTTAATGTGCCAGATGGGCTGTTGGAGTGGTATAATATTATACTTGAATGAATGGGCATGAAAATCTGGTGCATAAAAATGCAAATATGTGATAATATCCTCAACACTGTCTGTAGTCACCTGGAGAACTACTGCCTTAATCACCCGTGTTCAGCGTAGCCTTTCAGTTAGAGGAACAACTCAGAGACAAATCTTTTTTTACAGTTTTCCCCTTGTCCCAAATGTAGTTGATCATCCAAGGCATGTCTGTAGTTCTAAGTTTTGAAGCTACAATAATTAATGTTTCTAAATAGTAATGAAAATAGCCTTGTGCAATCAGCATGCCTACATTTTCACGCACATGAAAAGTTGTGAAGTTGTTATATAATCCCATAAAGCCTTGCTTGTGTGGTTTCTGGCACATACTTTAAAAATGGTAGTGGCTAACCATGACTGTAAAAGCTAGGCCTTCTGTTCCAAAACAAACAAAAAAAAACATACCTAGCATTCACAACATAATGCTAATTTCTGGTAGCATCCCTATGAGATTTTAGTAGTATGTTATCACAACATTTGGCAAGTTGTGGTCCTCACAGGTGACCACAAAAGCTTCCACAGCCCACAAGAAGTTTTAACTGATGAATAATTTTTTCTGACTAACCTATTGAGATTGATTAGCAGCTTAGCAGGGCTGCACGCCAGGCTGACAAATGGAGTTCTGGCTCAATTCAATTATTTAGATGCATATTTGCTATGTTCAGTCAGTGTATATTTTGTATCCTATGTTTATACAGTGTATGTGTTGTCTTCATTTGAAAAGACCCATGAGCAAACAGCACAGAATGGTAGTTACTTGTTTTCAGCTGTCATGGGCATAGAGTCCAGTGCATGCTTCTTACTGGTGTATTTTCTTCATTTCAGTTTATGCTTGTTTTTCATGGTTCTCTTAGTTTTCTCAGTGGCCTCTCCACTTGTAGATGGCTCAGTCTCACAATCTGTTCCTTTGAAAGACCCCATTTATCAAAGACGGATGAAGTCCCATATAACTGAATAATGAAATGTTTTACGCAGCCCACAGGTTGAAAACTACTAGTTAGAAACCAAGGGGAAAAAATCCTGACTGATTTCCATTCAATAATTGAACCGTTTTGTTTCCAACCCCAAATTTGAAAATTAAATAATAAATAAGCAGTACTAGAATACTTGCACAGTTTGAATACAATAAACAAACAATTCTATTAAAATACCTCTTAAGACATAAAATAAAATCATCTGTTAAACTAATAAATATTTTTATTTATTATTGTTTTGCCCAGGACACCAAAAATATAATAGGAGTGTCCTGAAATCATAATACTCATTAAGAATGCAAAGATCTATGAATATGCATGGTTATGCAAATAAATGCATGTTAATGCCCCCTTGCTGCATTGTTTCTAAACCCCACTGTAATAGCACATCTGCTACAAATATCAGTCTATATACTATAACAAGCCATCCAAAAGAAGTTAACCATGAAAAAAACACATTTTTGAGTGCAGGGGGTCTTTAAATAAAAATAAACCAAAAATTAAATGCTATTAATTTAATGCATTAAATTAATTCCCTTAAGCCTCAGTTAGCAAGAGTCTCTATAGTTTCCCCACTCTGCTAATTTTCTGTTTTTAAACTTGGATGAACTCTGGAGGCGTGCAAGTCACCTTGGGAACTAATTAGCACATCTCTGCCTCCACAACGTGCGAGAAAGCGAGACCTAAACCTGCTCTGATTACTCACGGGCTCTGACTGATACACTGTCCATTTAACACCTGCTTATATATACACACACACACACACACACTCTTCTGTTTGTAATGGCAGCGGGTATGAACTCTTCTGTTCCACTAGCTTACTCACAAACACATTTCACCCGAATAAGCCCAGCTGAATGGACAGACTGAACCTCAGGAAGAAAACAACATGAACGTAAACCACACAGTAACAATCAGAGTTACTGACCGTTACACAACCGCGTTGGGTTACACCCACAGCAAGGGCATATCACGTTTCTCCACTACGGCACTCAGGAGAATGAGACCAATATGCACAACAGTGGTGTAGCCAGAATTTGACTGGGGGGGGCACAGCTAGCCAGCAATATGCTCCAAAGACATCACTTTTAGTGGTTATTATTATGGTCATTATTATGGTCAACTACTATGCTAGATAGCAAGTAGTGCTGAAAAGTATTTATAAAATTCAATATCACAATCTTTTTCAAATAGTTTGGGCTGCAACTTACAAATTTTTCATTTTTTAATCAAATTAATCAATTATCATCTCTAATATTTGAAGAAAATGAAGCATGTTTCATTTTAATAACTGAATGGGAAAAAAATTGTATATGATAACTGTTATTCATTATTATTTAATAGATTATTACAAATCTAATTTCTTCTTCCTCTGCTTCTTCTTCTTCTTATTATTATTACTAATTAGCTTTTTTACTGTTACATACATTCTATTGATATATTTTTTATTTATGCTTTTTAATGAAATTCAATTGAAAGGTAATGAAAAAACATCACTGATACACAATTATTAAAACAGCAATAAAAATAAAATCATAAAACTGATGTGTCAGTTATTGGAACAATTTTCAAATATTTTAATCATCAAATTTATCACATATGACTAACATTGTGCAGCAGTCCTAATATCAAAGTATCAGATAATATTTAGCATTAATAAAGTTAATGAGCCCATACAAAATACTGCAACTTTATGGCTCACAAAACTGACATTTTTGTTTTACTTTTTGTTTTGTTCTGCTTTCTGAAAAAAAAACATAATGTTTAATAATGACGGTGTAGATGACATATCACCCAGACATATTTAAGCAGCTACAGCATGTGAGAGACCAAATCAAATGTTATCAATAAGAGCACAAAGACAATCTTAAATTCTGCAACATTTTTACTGGCAATATAGCACCATATCGCTGCTGTCTGAATAAAACCTAGTATCTCCATTTTTGTCATTCTTCAGTTTTTGACATGATTTCAAAACGCCTGTTGCCCTTTATATTGCATGCTGCATGTAAATTTCATAAGGAATGGACCAAATGAAACGGCCCAGAATGACTTGGAAAAAAGTGTGGTTCCATTGACTTACATTAAAAGAAAAGTATGTTTTTTCCTTCTCCTGTAAAGTTACCATTTCAGAAATACAAGGTTTTGTCCTGACAGCAGCGAAATACAACAAAGCAGCGTGTTTCTATTTCATGTTTTTTTTTTTTGAACACACTAAAACATCTATTGCTACAACCCTGACACATATACACCCATATTTTATGTGAAAAAAGGTACTTACTTCTTGAACTGTTTGAGGAAAATCCCCACGTTCATCCCTCTCTTAGAATCCAAGATGCTGATCTAAGAAAGAGATCATACAAGTAAATGAAGAGCTATTTTTATAGACTATGTGTTTATTAATAAACATGGCGACCCTATAATGTTGGGACCTTGTACTATGCTTTTTTTAAAGATGCACCTATTCTTTTTTATTTTGTAAAACTGAAAGGAGTTTTGATTACTTTTGGAAGTTGAGGTTAGATTTAGAATGTTCTGATTTATGATTTAGAGGATATATTATTATCATTATTACTATTATTATTATTATTATTAGTAGTAGTAGTAGTAGTAGTAGTAGTTCAAATATTAGATCATTTACATGCAGTACTATGGCCAAAAAATATAACAGTATTTATTTTAGATATTGTGTAAAGATTTCCTAAAATATTGTAATATCATATTTCTGTCATATCACCCACCACTATACAGTACTGAGCAAAAGTTGAAAAAGAAAATTATATTCAAAAAGCTATTTATCTGGGCAGCAAGAATTCATTTTCTCAGAAAAACTAAAGTATTACACTAACTGCTGTTCACGTCATTTACTCAGCATCACAGCTAGGGGACGCTGTCAAAGTATCACTGGCATGTGGGCTAACAGTGAAAGTTCAGATGATGATTCAACTCTCCCTGACATAGAAAATCATTAACAAATATGATGCTGGGTTTGGCTTCCGCACACACTCGCACACCTGGATGACTCATGCGTGTGTGATCCGTGCCACTGACGTAACCCGCGGCTCACGTGACGCGCTGTGGTGTGGAGTCCACACGCGCTGCCGCACAAACAATAGTGCTGGAAGCTTTGTTGAGCTGAGCAGCACTCTCAGTCCCAGGTGACTACTAAGCTAAATAAACCTGAGGGTGCTATAGCAACCACAGAAACCATGACAGGCAAAAACCACAACAGGTCACCTAGATGCCCAAGCACTGGCTGATGAGTTTGTGTTTGGCATGCTTCTATAAAATCTGTGTAAGCTTTCAGCTGTGGCTCCATTTCTATCTGTAATAAATAAAGTACTGTGAAAGTGTTATCTTATACCTAATTTTTGTTTAAATTGGAAATGTCCCCTGACTTTTGAACAATACTGTATGTCTAATCTTATATAATACATACATAGATATAGAAATATAGAAATAACCAAATATGAAAATGCATTCTAAGGAAACAAGTAAAATGTACAGTAGTCAAGGAGGAATAATAACATTACCATAATACAGAATATAGAATCTATATATAATATATAGATAATATAGAATCTAATAACACTTTCGGCTTACATTCAAGTCTCTTTTGAAGACTTTGCGTGATTGTATTTTGCATAGATAAGTTTCATGTTTTGTGTAAACTAGTACACAGCTTATGCATCAAAACTAGACATGTATTATTTTAAATGGAAATGTATTATTTTAAATATTTTAATTAAAAATGAAAGATCCTGCTAGCACTTCCTGTGAATAGTGCACACATAGTACATAAGTGAACTATAAAATTTTACATGCTATATATATATAATTCCCTATACAGGCTAGCAGCCTAAGTCTTTAGGAGACATTTCATTGTTACATGTACAAGAGGTTATGCAGCTATGATTTATGAGTTTGTAGTTATGAGTTTATATGAATAAGAATTATTTTACATAAATATTGATATTACAATGATAATGAAGACAGGGCTCTACACAGTCGATTATTTTTCATGTGAATGAATTTGTTTCCCTGCGTAAACTGACGTAAACGTTTCCTGGCGTAAACAGCAACGTTGTCAGATGTCTGTCACTGCGCTCATGCTCGATTTATTTTATTTTTCACACGACAAGAGAAGCGTTAGAGTTCAAGTTCGCCTCCATAAGCTAGACACAAGCGAAGCATCAATGCACCCTCGCTCAGCACTTACACTCTTACTGGAGAAACTCACCAGGCGAACTGACCACTTTCCTCATGCTAGCAAAACAAAAGAAACACAGCTCTCTCTGTTTGACTGATTTTAACAGCTTCTGCAGGTAAAACGAGCACAACATTCACCATGAGAGTGAAGCTGTCTTGTTCGCCAGCTGCATATAGGAATTTGTTGGAACGCGTCAGAACGTAACTGCTGCACCATTCAAGGTGGAACGGAAACTTCAAATAAGAAGATGCTGATGAAAAAAAGTCAACTTCAGCTTCATACATTCACCATCATTTTGCTGTCTTTTCTGTAAACTGTTCAGGTTGGTCGTTTTGGTTTCTGCTGTTGTCTAAATGTAATTCAAAATAGCGGTTGTTTTTAGTTGGCTGAGCTAGTCTTTATTTTAACCCTGTGCACCCAATGTTCCCAAAAATCATCAAAAATTGTCTTTTTATTATTTTTTACAAAATACATTTTTTTTTCCAAAGTTCCAAAATACATTTTTTTTGTATTTAAGTTCAGTAGTACTTCTAAAAGTTGTTTTATGTGTAGTGCACTACTCTTTATTTATACAGTATAGCCATCATGGTTATCTGTGTACCATGGATTTAGTATTTGCGTTGGAAGGGTAAACAAAAACTGACTTGAGTGTGAAGACTTAAGATTTACTTGTTACTTGCAACTTGGTGACTTGTTCCCACCTCTGTTCATAGGTAAGCAACCCATTCCACATTTATTTTTTTTGTGCTGTTGTCGCAGTTGTGCTGTCCATTTTATCTCAGCAGAATCGTCTTTGTGGAGAGGTGTGAACAGTTTTCACACCAGGGGGTCTCACCCCCCTTTCCCCTCTCATTGCTCACTAGCAGCTCAACAACACAGAGAGCCAGCAATGTCCTAATTAATCTACAATTGGAGGATTATTTGATTATAATAATTAAAAATATCTTAGCCAATTTCCATCCTGCCAGCTATGTGATCTGAGGTCATTTATACATGAGTGGCTGATTAAACTTTATGTGCCAACTCTAACTTTCATATCAATACGTAACACCTGACACAACATGGAAGTGAGATTATCACATCTAAGTGATGATTCATAAAGTAAAGACACAAAACTTTGTAGTAGTGGTTATAATGGCTTTTAAATAGATCAATAAATGATCTAAATAGATAAAAAGCCTTTATCATTACACATTTATATGTTAACATTGGCTGGGGCATTTTTGGCAGGGGTGTCTCAGTGGCTGTAATAACTGCTCTGTTGGGCTACCATAGTTGCCTCTATGATTCTAACCCAAGTGTAGTTCATTTTATGAAGAGACTGTGGGAAATACTGCCCTTTAAAATATTCTCATCGCCACTGGGCCTAATTCTTAATTGTATAGCTGCATATGTATCTGGTCAATATATGCTATTAAATGATTCTTCACATACACAATAAAAAACACAGCATCAGCACTATTATTTATGAGAGTATCCTCAAACCCTTGAGACTGATATAATAACTGTTATGGCCCAGAAATAACTCTAATAGACCTGCTTCTATAGACGTCTGAGACCCCAGAGTACCAAAGTCCTTTTGGATTACCTACAAGCTAAGAATCAGTGTCAAACTGTTCACAGCGCTGAAACTGGCTGTGACAGACAGTCTGGCACTTGGGCTTTAATGGTCTAGGAAATGTGTCTTTTTGGGTTTACATACATACTTATTTAGACAGAAGGTGTCTGATTCTTCATCATATAGCCAGTGAACATCTTTCTTTTGAGTTCTAAATGACCGTCCTAGTTCTATTCTAAACAATATTGAATTTGTTCATCATTGCTCATTCATACCACAGTCAGGAGCTTTTGAGCCAAATATCCCAAGCTTGTACATGAAATGCTAGATTATAGATCTATGATAGATCTATCACAAATAATACTCTATTCTATAATTAATTCTTTATAAAGTGCACCGTAAAGGAATAGGTGAAAATCAAATGTATACAATGCTCCCCTAACCCCAAAAGTGGTCAGCCAAGACGTTTGGTATCAAGTTCAATCATGGTTAAATGATCACACACTTGCCTTGAACCACTCTGACCTGTTAAGCGATCTTAAATAGAGTTGGACAGCCACATACCTCTTGCCAATTTTGGACATATATCATGGCAGACTTGCCTTATTAACAACATTTTCCTACAAGCTCACCAAATTCAATCAATCTCATAGGGACTCACCTCATCTTTGCTTTCTTTGAAGGAGGCTCTAGATCTCCCTGACCTGGGATGCCCGGTGGGCACATGTGTCCGCACTTCCTCCTGCTGGCCAAACAGCTCTTCTACAGTCCTCACGTCGATCTGGTATTGCTGCTGCCTGACCGCCAGAGTCCATATGTTGGGCTTGCCACGGACCTTCTCCTCTGGAATGGGCTTCCAATAGAAGCTGCGGACCCTTCGCTTTTTGCGGGAGGCATTTGGTTGTCCCGCCTGGCTCGGGGCTTGAGGTGGAGGTGGAGGAGGTGGTGGAGGAGGTGGAGGGGCAGGTGGAGGTCCAAGTGCAGGGTCTGGATGAGAACGGTGGGCATGGTTGGGGTCTGGATCTTGGGATCTAGGAGGATCTGGAAGGGGCGGAGGGTTGGGTAGAGGAGGAGTGGGACTCTCTCTTGCTGGGTTCATGGCAGTCGTCCCACTGGCCATGGTGGGTGTCACAGAAGCCACAGAGGGTGGCAGGGGTGGAGCTTGTCTGGGCCGGCCAGGGTTTATGGTGGGCTTTAAGACCCTCTTAAAGATGTGGTTTAACAAACTAACTGATTGAGGGTAGCATTTTATTCTACTTTTAGGATGTCTTGGTCAGGGAGGGGCAGTTTTATTTGAACGTACGGATATTCAAGCTCATCTTAGTATTCATTTACTTAACTGAGTGTTTGAATAAGGCCTGTACAGTTTCAAAAAATTAAATAAATATTACCTTGTAAGTTTTAAACAGTATTTTTGTCTTTGCAGAAGACAATGAAAAGTCAGAATACGTCAGGAAGCAAGCAGCAGATATCACAAAATTTTGAACTAAATTATAACAAATCTGTACAAGCTGTGTAATTCTGAATTATCATTTTCTCGACAATGTGTTGCATTCTGTACGCCCAAAACACAAAGATAAATAATAACTTAACTGAATACTATTCTATTATTCGCTCAGGTCATAAGGTAGTTTCTTAATCTGAATATACACTGGATGACACAGCCATGAACGACATGAGGTATGTGGTTGCGCCCTTTCCTGTCAACTGGCTCTGGAATTAGCCACAGGTTAATTCCAAAGTCCCCTCACATTTCAGCCCATCTGCCACGACTTTTGCTGGCTCGACCCACAATGCTCCGTTGCTTCTTCCTGGCTTCCGCCAACCGTAGAGAGGTCAAAGGCCAGGGCCCCGGAGCTGCAGGAGGGACGAAAGCACAGGCAGAAAATTGAATTATTCCAGTGCAATCATGCGAGGAATCCCAGTATGATCAAAATTAGGGGAAAGAAAGTAGGGAAAGACATCAAAAGTGACCCAGCTGTGCAGTCAAGGAAAAGGCCACAGTAGGAGAAGGCCAAGCGCTATTGTTTAGCTGAAGTCATTCAAGTTAAACTGCAATGTGTGAAAGAACGCCACCGACAGATAAGTCGGATCTCTACTCATCAAAATTTACAAACTTCCCAGGGATTCTGCTTGACGCAAACACCACAATTTGATGTCAGAAATCATCAGTATTTTCTTTCACAGAACATTAATTACACATTACATAATGTCTGGTTAAATCCTGTCAAATGACCAAGGGCAGCATAAAAGAAAGGCAGCTGTTAATTTCAGCTCAAAGACATTTATATAACTGATCATTTTCTGGTAATCTTTCCTGTCTTGCCCAAAAAGACGACAACCATAGAAAGCTGTGGTGATTTTGTGATGCAAGATGCAAGTATTTATATATCAATACAGTACTGTGTAAAAGTCATCAGAGACCACCACTGAAGTAGCCATAAAGCATGAGGAATTTTTGCAGAGTACATTATGAAGAAGAAAATGCATGTGAAAGGGAAAAGTCAAAGGAAAATACTTCTGACAACTATGCAGGACCTGATTGACCAGATCGCTATTTGGAAGGTTTTTAATGCTTTCTGCAGACTCATCTGCTGGTCAGCTGCTCTCAAAACAATGATCAAATCAGATTTGGTTCTTTGTTAAAGTTATGAAATCAGCATAGAAACCTTCATACTGGCTAACACAGTCAAAGGACAGTTTTCAAACTGTCTTCAAAACCAGAGTGAAAGAATTTAGAAGATATACAGAAAATGGGGCTCCTTACAGCCCTTGAAGACCTGGTAGACCACCAAAACTGCTCCCATCAGATAAACATCACTTTTATCAGTGAGAAAGAAGAGAAGCTCAGCTCTACTCTTGCTTCAGATCTGATAAAAGTCCACAGCCGTCCTTCCACTGTGAGAACACAGCTCAGCACTATGGGTCTGAAAGGATGTGCAGCTGCCAAGAAGCTCTCACTGAGAAAAGCAAAAAAGAAAAAATAAAGAAAAAAAAACTTGCAAAAAACACCAAAACTGGACATCTGAGGTGTGGAGTAAGGTTTATGGAGTGCTAAGTCAAAACATGTTTGGGATTAGTTGGATGGTGAGAAGCAGGAAGTGCAACCGACATCTAAGACTGAACTTTGGAGGTGTGGAAAAATATCCCTGCAGATTTCTTTAAAAAAACTGAAAGTGAGTCTCCTGAAAATAATGGAAGCTGTAATAAAGGCATACAGCGGACACACGAAAACACTAATCAATTCAATACCACATTTAGCTGCTGAGGCTTCTGTAATTATAAGTTTATGCAAATATATATTTTCTCCTTTTTTCCCTGATGCTGACAAATGTATAACACAAATGCAGTATTTTTGACAAGCGGACATCATCATCTAGGTACTTTGCACATGGGACATTCGTAACCTATGCTCACAGGCCTCATTTGAATATGCAAATGTGTCACCTCACACCATCCTCGGGCTATAGCGACGTTGTCAGGGAGACATGACACCGACCAATCAGTGCAGCTGATGCACATTCAGAGCTCCACACATGTTCAGCTCCAACAAAGACTGTATGACACAAAAGTGACTAAACAAAGACATAATGACTGGACATTGTGTCTATTTTGTACTTTATATATCTAAGACCTTCAGAGAATCTAAAGTAGGGCCCACTAATCTCATAATACCTTTGTAATCTAGCAATATCAGCCCAAGCCATTCAGAAGGAAAGCAGTAAGATTGTATCTAAAGCTGTGCTCTATTTGCTTTGCTGTATTTCTCTTATTTACATCCTATTTTGTATAGCCTTATCACATTCACTTAAGCCACTTGTATATCATAACACTGCAAAAATGATATCTAAGCAAACATCTTAAATCAAGCTGAGATGTTGTAAGAATATTGTAATATTATTTAACCCGATAACCTTGTTTTAAGAAGTACAATGATCTACCAACGGAATAAGACACATAAAAACAGTTTATACAACCATTTCAAAGTGTGAAATATTAGATATACTGACTAGGTTACAACCCCATTACCAAAAAAGTTGGGATGATGTGCAGAATGTAAATGTGTGGCATGCGCCCACCTCCCGGGCCCCAACGATGACGGTCACGAGAGCCGGCAGGAAGGCGGGGCCCGAACACCCAGCGGTGACGAACCTTGGCCAGGACGGCAGGGAGAGAGGCACGAGTGGGGAGGGGGCGAAGCGCAAAGCCCGAGCTCCGCCGAGGGACGTGAGTCACGCGAGTGACGGCGGGAGGAGGAGGACGAGGCCGATGGTGCCGGCCACGAGGGAAAAAAAGGACTGAAAAGTCTAGCTAGCTTCAGCCAACCTGAAAACCTGAAAAGTGGCCAGCTTAGCGCAGCGTTGGTTGTGTTTGCTTTGTGTTTATTTGGGTGTGTGTGAATTAAAGGGACGAATCACAGTGGTAAACATGCCCTCGTCCCAACTTTTTTGGAACGTGTTGTTGGCATCAAATTCAAAACGGCCACATAATTTTCAAAAAACAATAACATTTTTCAGTTTCAACGTTTGTAAACTATATGTTGTCTTTGTAGTATTTGCCTTTAAAATGTGGTCTACATGATTTGCATAACACTGCATTCTATTTTTATATACATCCTGCACAGCATCCCAACTTTTTTGGAAAATGGGGTTGTAGATATCATTTTGCAGTGTAAACCCCTCTGTGTTCCTTTCTCAGCTCAAGTGAAGTTCAACTGCAATACATTCAACATAAAGATAAATGGTTAAACAGTAACTAATGCCAAGTGATGTTAAGTAGGCCTGTAACATCACATTGGTTTTGGTGCTTTCATGCTTTCACTTTTCTGTTCCCTACAACTGTAGATACAATCGTAACAGGGATCGTAACTAACGAGCCGGCCTTAATGTCCATATCATAACTGAAAGAACGAAAGCCGCAGTCCTCTAACCAACCCTGCATGCATTGCCACTGTGAAGGCTGGGCCTCGTCCACTCAGCTCCTTTTGATGCGGAAGCCTTTGTGTCAGTGACAATGAGTGACGAAAGGCTCCGGTAGTAAGGCACTGCGTTTCATCTTACACAGAGCTGTCACTGCTGATATATGCTCTTTTCTGCTCCTCTCCTGTGTTATCAGTCACAGTAGAAAAGACGAGATAGTCTGGCACTCACGTCCCGCCCAAACTGAAAAGAAAAGCAGCCATCGCAAAAAGGGAGAATATGTTATACCTTTCGGCGTTCCAGAAATTACAATACTGTTATATGGAGGGCTTTTTTTTTTTGGACTAAAATAATTGAATAAATAAATAAACAAATAAATGACAATAAATAAATAATAGTGAACCTAAAGTGAATATAAGCAATTAAATGTGACATTTATTTAATTTCCTAAGTCTGTAAGTTTTTATTGAATTAATTATATATGACGCTATAGGCAACGTGAAATGGTCACTTCTGCCCATCAAGTCTACTGTTTATGTCTAAATCATTATGGCCAGAGCTAAATGTAACTAATGCAAAGCTAGCTGAGTAAATGAACCAGCTACGAGAAATTAAGCTTAATAGTTACACAACAATGCTGGTAATGGACAGGGACAGGCTACCTAACTAGTTCTGTGGTAATGCAACAGAGGCAACTGGCATCACCAACATGCACTGCTTGAACAAAGGCCTACAAGCCCTGGCTATCACTATAGCCTAGCTACTGTCTACGTTCCTTCAGCATAGGGTTCTACATTTATTATAAAACACATTTTGATAGGCATTAGGTTTTATTTAAGCTAAATGGCTCGGCGTGCAGTAAGATGCCACACTTTTAGCTTAACTTCCTTAGTTGTGCGCTGTAGCTATGAAGCTAATATAGCTAACAAGTAATGGAGGCTTTTATTCAACAGGTTAGCACTATGTAAGTTATCTTGTGACTGCCTGAAACCACTTAAAGTTGTTAAGCAATGTCATACAGACTTGCTTATGTGTTCAACACTGTAGGACTACATGTTGCCTATAAACGTGGACAAAAAAGTATGCTGCAAAGCTAAATATAGTAGCCGTTCATTTTAGCTTGAGTTTTGCCTGTACTTTTGCCCATTTTTACACAGAGTCAGAATACATGTTACAGGAGGTCATGATGAATTAGATTTTTGGGCATACCACTGCTTTAAAAATGGTCTTCCTGAGGTTTTTGAGAAAATACAGGATCATTCTGGAACTTCCCAGGTGACGGATAAGCATCTGCTAACTAGACTCCAGAAAAATCGCTTTGTACTCCGTGACCAGGCAGCTCATTTGATCCAGCAGGTTTTTACTTATTAAAGCCTCTGATGTCACGAGGAGCCTCCGGTTCCATACTGCCTGTGATGAGTTTGCCGTCGCCCACAATAATTAATTTATAGACTGGTGAGGACGAATCTCACCTTTTGGCACGAATCTGGCCTTAGACTAAGTTAAACTATACAGGCGTTCTGCTTGGTTTCTGATTGTAGATTATAATGATCAATTTGAGTAATGATGGAATTATAGCCGTGTGTACGTACACAAGAATGAAAACAGAACATAGTTTCATATTCATGATATCACATTCCTCCGCTGCCTTGTCAA